AGAGAGAGAGAGAGAGAGAGAGAGAGAGAGAGAGAGAGAGAGAGAGAGAGAGAGAGAGAGAGAGAGAGAGAGAGAGAGAGAGAGAGAGCGGCAGACAGTTACATACCTGATCCGAGGCCGAGTCTGTGTGAGCAGCAGAGCCCGCAAGAGACCTGCACACTTTCTTTGTATAGTAAATATATTTGCCTACCAATCTCTCGTGCGATCCCTCTGTCTCGCCTGTTGGTTCGAAGTGTGAAGACTCCTTGGGATGGTCGTTGCATGTGTGTGCAAGGTTCAGGGTGATTGACTTGTGAATCATTGCACACCCAGCTTACATAGCATTGCTGAAACACCTACCCCATACTGCACTGGCCATCCCACACCTACCCCACACTTCACTGGCCAGCACACATAGTACCATCCAGTCAACGTACTATGACCCACCCCATGTAGTACCGCCGAAACCAAACAGTATCACCTGGGCCATGTAATACCACCCAGCCCACGTATCACCACTTACCGTCTTCACCCGAATACAGCGCCCGGCCATTGTGGTTGTATTTGGGGCAACTTTCCCTCCAGATACAGCGGTAATGACCGGGCGTTGTATTCGGGTGAAGACGGTAGTCTACATAACATGACTTACCAACATAATGTCACCCAACCTGCTCATTATCACCCACGTCACATAAGACCACTCCCATCCCACTTAGTACCACCCAGTTCACAAAGTGTGACGCATGCTGTATAGTACCGCCCAACCCGTGTCCCGCATGGTACCACCCATTCCAAATAGTATGACCCACTCCACGCGGTATGGCCCAACGTACGTAGTATCACCCATGCCACATATTACTGCTTGGCCCACATAGCACAGCCTGGCCACGGCAAAGGCCGAATTGCATCTGATGTTGGCCGTGTCTTTTTCTTTTTTCTTTTTTCTTTTAGTGGCCGTGTATGTGATCCATTTCCTGTTTTGTGGGAGTGCGTTAGTGCCGTCCAGTCCTCATAGTATGACCCTCCCCACATGGTGCCACCTGGCCCACATGGTACTGTCCAACCCACGTAGCGTCATGCAGGCCAACCGCCCAGCCCACATCGGACCAAGGACCGAGTTGTGCCCAAGTGTGTATGTTTTTTTTTCGGCTGTGTGTGTGTGTGTGTGTGCATGTGTTTGTGTGTGTGCGTGCGTCCATGAGATCGTGTGTATGTGTGCATGAGCTCGTGCGAGCGTGCGTGCATGCGTGTGTGTGTGCATGCGTGTGTGTGTGCATGTGTGTGTTACTACCATTCAGTCTGCATAGCATGACCTGCTCGACATGGTACCGCCCAGTCCTCATGATACCGTCTAGCCCACATGGTATCACCCATGCCACATGACACCGCCCAGCCCACAGAGTACCACCTGACCGTGCCAAGGGCCGAGTTGTGCCTAACTTTGGCACGACTCGTGAGAAGGAGAGCGCACAAGAGGAGAGGGGGTGGCCGGAGCAGGGCGGAGAGCAGGTGGACGAGAATGAGATGGAGAAGGAGGAGGAGGTGATGGAGCAGCAGGCGGAGGAGGAAGAGATGGTGGATGAAGGCGGGGGAGAGGAATAGTCCTGTGGTGTGGGTGTAGCTGTGGCACGCTCCTGCTTGTTTTCTTAAAGGGGTGACAACCTTCAGTTCTCATCACCTCCTCCTAGGAAATTCTTCGAGGAATTGATGGGCCCTAGGAAATTCTAAATTGTTTTGCTTAATTCATCTGGTTCCGTCCGGATTTGAATTCAGGTCTGCATGCCAATGCCTAGTTATAGCACGCGATTGTGCGCTGAGGTGTCTCTTACCGGTTAAGGGAAGGGATATGCCCGCCGAGGATTGAATTGAAAGCGGCAGCTTACCCAATTGCTTGTGGTTGAATTGTCCATGCAGACATGCTTGATGGGATGTGGTCCCAAGGGGAAACAGGCCGCTCTGGAGGCGGTCGGCAATATTGTGGATCTGCGAAATACATCTGGGCCCTACCAGAATGGACCCACCGAAGCTAATGAGCCTGCAGATGCAAAGTCAGCAGTTGCGCTTCAACGTCTAATCCAGGCAGCGGTGAGTTTGATTAATTCTATCAGGATGTGGCAGTTGCAAGCTCATTGTTAAAAACTTGAAAGTGGTCGGAATCACAGTTCCCTTCACTGTAAGAGCTTGGAGCACAGTCACACTATCACAATCTCACAATGTATCTGACCACAATTACATACAGAAACAAGTATAAATAAAAAAAGTTCCACCGTCTTCACCCGAATAGAGCGCCAGGCGATTATTGCTGTATCTGGACGGAAAGTCACACCAAATATAGCTATAATGACCAGGCGTTCTATTCAAGTGAAGTTGGTAGTGTGAGTGTGCTCCATGTCTGTTTGCAACACAAATGTGGTAATGAATGGTACCGGAGAATTTGTATTTATTTATAGGGTTCAATCTCCTAATGAGTCGGTGAAAATCCGAGGAAATAGCCTGTGACAGCCCCTCGCCCGCCCTCCGCACCCTCACTTTCTTGTCCCTTGCTCCCTTTCTGCCTACAGTTCAGCAGGCAATTCTCTGTGACAATATATAGCTTTGAGTGTGGCTCACCCACTGAAGTTGGCTCTGTGGTCCAGTCTTCCGGAGGGCGCAATGAATGGCTATATATCGGCAAGTCGTTTGAAACATTGAGAATGAAATTAACGGAACCATCGATTTCTCTGTCACACGAGTTCTAACAGGTACGTGTCACATGAGGTTCTCTTGCTAGATGTTGAACTCCCGCAGTGCCCAACTCCACAGCAATCACAATTAGGTATAGCAATCAGGAGGTGAGGGCCGGTCGTGAAAATATATCACACCGTACAGAATCTAGAGATGGGCTCTGTTGATTCTAGAACAAACCCCACTGCTGTGTTTATGAACTTCATGCTTGATTCAATCAATTTCCTCTCTAAACCATACTCTTGCTAAATTCACATGTGTGTGTGTGTGTGTGTGTGTGTGTGTGTGTGTGGTGTGTCGTTTGGTTGTGACACAGTGCCACAGGCCCAAAAGAAACTGAAAACAAACTCTCTTTGTAGTTGACCCTTACCAAAAGGATGGAACCCAGCCACTCGCCCCGCCCCCTCCCACCCCCCTTTCTTATCTCTTTCGTATACTCGGACTACTTCGGGAGCTGTCTCTAGAAGTTCTGTTCGTGTAAACCAGCGGTCGTCCTCTGGTTCCTGAAAAGCGAACCTGACCTTGTATTGTTTCTGTGGACGACCCCTACCTCCTGTTCTGAAGACATCCCCACATAGGATGCCGTCAATGTCGTACCTTCCGTCCATGTCCGGAGGGATCATGGATCTCCGTGATGGAAACTGTTGACTTGTGGTACAAGGCAACAACTTTGACGCATGAAATACCGGATAGGTGTGGAGGTGCATTGGAATCTCGACTGTGTAGGACGGTCCATCCTCTCCGCCCTTGACTTCTAAGACTGGCCATGGTCCTCGGTATGCAGGCAGTAACTTTTGTGAGATGTTCTCCTCAGGAGCAAACTCTTTGGACTTGACCCAGACTAAGTCGCCTACTTGAAACTGTGATGGGCGACGGTGCTTATTGGCTTGCTCTATCATTTTATGCAGGGCCTTCCTGAGGTTCTCTGTGACAGTAGCAATCTCCTTCTCGCAGTGTAGTGCAAACTCCCTAGTACCGGACGGTAGCCTTTGAATCTGATCCCGGTTCAATCCCTCAAACGGTCTACGCGGTCTAAAGGACTTACGTAGCTCATTGGGAGTGTGACAAGTCGCTAAGTGCACGCTGTTATTATATGTGCTGGCTACCTTGGGAAGCATCTCATCCCGGTTAAGCTGATCAGGTCTAATATACATTCTGAGAACTTGTTGCAGGATTTTGTTCATCTGTTCAGTCTGACCGTTAGTCTCAGGAGGATGGCCAGATGACATCAACAACTTAGAGCCATAGACTCTCATCACCTCCTGCGAGTTCTGACTAGTGAACCTTGTAACGAGCGGGAGGCTGAGGGAGACAGGGAGAGCCGAGGGAGAGGAGAGAGAGAGGGAGAGAGTGAGAGCACACACACACTCACTCACTCGACACGACGGACTCGGACTGAGGGTCGGACGCAGACACAGTGGCAAGGCACAAAGTCGAAGTCTTGGATCCCGAATGCCGAAACGGCAAGTCACACTGAGTATGAGTACAGCAGCAGAGGACTGGTACGAGACCGGTCCCCGTACCGTACGGGGAGCCGGTATAAGTACCGGTGATACGTACGGTACCAGGGGCGTTTTTGCAAAGGCCCCGAGGGCAGAACTGAAAAATGCAGTATTTGAAAGTGGCGCCCAAATCGCAGCATGGCGCCAGTTGTCCAAAATCCTACGGTACCAAAGGCGGGGTTTGGAAAAAGGGTGCCAGGCCGAAAACGGGATGCAGCCGAAACAGCAAGGGAGAGCCGAGGGAGAGGAGAGAGAGAGGGAGAGAGTGAGAGCACACACACACACTCACTCACTCGACACGACGAACTCGGACTGAGGGTCGGACGCAGACACAGTGGCAAGGCACAAAGTCGAAGTCTTGGAT